TCTCAGATGCTTGGTGCAAGGCGATAAGCTTGTGCCATGCAGCATCTTGGTGCCACCAGAGCTGGGTGTGTTGCTCTGTTTCTGTTGTAGAAGGTGAGGTCAAATAATGTGCCTTCCACTTCAGGAGGAAGATGGCGCCAGGGGTACCTTTTGTGACTTTCTGTGGGGCTAACATATCTCTCTCTCCTTTCCTAATTGATGGTTGTTCCAAAAGAAAGCTCTTGTGCTAGCTAGATTCATCCCTGTGCACAGGGAATAACCAAGGCTTAAGCCCTGTGATCTGCTGTTGCAATCGCATACAATAGACCTAACACACACTCCCTAGCATATCGATAAATATGGACCAATAGGCATTGATTTTTGTACGGTTGTCTTACTTCCAAAGCTTTGACTAGAGTTGTTGAATTGTGTGAGTGACCTCCCCTGAACTGGCCTGTTTTCTAATCTGTGTTTACTTGCTCTTTGGCTCAGCTCAAACACAACCATTGAGAACCTGATAGAGCCTTCCTGAGCTGGTGAGGAGTTTCACACTCCGCGACCTGCTGCGAGCTGAGCGGGAGGTGCCAGACACTCATATCTCTTGGAAATCCTCTGAGGCATCTCAGTGAGATTTTCCAAGCCTAACTGCAGGCACCCATTTTGTTCGATCAGTTGTTTTTTTGCTTCTGTTGTGATTATCAGTGGAAAATGTTATTACAGCAGGGACGGAGGCAGCTGCCAACAGTAACAGGGCTAGGCTGCGGAGCTGGCATTTTCAGCTCCCAGTATATTCCATGTGTTTTCTTGCATACACTGGAATTTGTCCCTTGGTTAAGGTATAGATGGCAGGCTGTGGAGTGTTGCATTGCCAGCTACATTACTCTATATAGCAGGGGTGTCAGACTCACCTCGGGCCCCAGACTGGCTCTGGACCTCTGCCCAAGTGGCCACAGGGCAACTGAGTACTGTGTCGCACAATCCTCGTCACCAACAGCCATGTCCACCAGGACCTTAGATCCTGTGGCAAGCCCCATTCAGTGCTGGCCACTCCTCCAAATTCACTGTCCTGCTGCTAGCCTGGCAGGCTGGATGGATCAGCTCTGCAGGCCAGATCCAGCTTGTGGACCATACATTTGACACTTTTACTTTGTGGAATGAACATGGTCCTCTTACAGTGAGGAAACTTGACTCCATCAGCATCAATGGCAAAAATTCTGATGATTTCTCTGGGGAAAGGATTTTACTTCAAAGATCAGAGAGCAAATTGCAGGTTTTTTGGCAGCTTGTTCAGCCTGCTCCTGCAATCCCTGGAGTTACCCCAAATCCCAGAAGAGCTTATTGTTTCTACTGAATGGATGAGTTGGAAGCAGAGGGCTTCTGAAGGCATCTCACTGGGTGTGTCTACATGTGCAATTAATGCAACTGAATATACTCTGCCTCAATTTAAGCTGGAGTAAACTAATCCTGGCATCACTATCTACGCATGCTTTTAAGTGCAGTAATTTACTGTGTTGCCAGATATCACTTGTATCTAATGGGACTATTCAGAAGTGCAGTAAATTAGTCCATTGCACCCTAATTGCTCTGCGCATGTAGACGGTGACAATTTACTGTACAGAAAATTAGTCTGCTGTGCAGTAAAGCATCTGGGGTAGACCCACCCACTGAGACTAATGTAAAGTAGTGCTCAATACTGTGTTTGTCTGCCTGTCTGTCCCCACTTAATTAGACACCACTGAATTAGCTTCACATTGCAGCTGTAAGGTCTGGAGCATTTTTTTATATAAAAGCATGCTGGGAGGAATGGAGCGCCCAGGACAGTCCTGGCAGGGTGCGTGGGAGTGTGGCAGCTCAGCCCAGCTGAAGCCTTAGGTGTGCAGGAGGGGGGTGGGTTGAGTTGGAGCTGGTTTTTATTCAAGGAGCCCTGTAAAGCAATGTATAAACAAGGGTAAATGTGCTGGGGGGAGAAGCTGTTAGGAAGGTTATTTCTGTTTTGTTTTTCCTGGATGATCCTGTGAGCGAAAAGATAACTAGTAGAGTTATGTGCCGGCAGGGACACCTCGTTAACTGGGATGGGACTTTGTTCCTGTGAACTTTTATTAGACTCCAACATCTGAAAAACGCTTGGGTAAAAAAAGTTGTTGGGTTTTGGTAGCTTAATGCCCACTCCCCTGTGGGGCAGAAACTGGGGGTGCCTAGCACAAGGCGCACAACATTTTGGAGGATTCCCTAGAACTGCTGGTATGGAGACTTCCTAGGAAACAAAGCAGCTGGAAGACCAGTTAAATACTCCTGCTGTGAAGCCTTCCTTGGGCCTTACAGATAACAATAAGAGCAGAGCACACCCCAATTTTTGTCTGTCTTATCAAATCCCCTTTTATATTCTGAGACCAGAGAACCCAGGTCCTGATACTTCTCTTTTTTCAGCTTTCCCCTTTTGTAGAAGGTGGCTTGTCTTGCTGGGCAGTGTTGCTCTTTGTATTGCAGTCATACTGAGGGGCCCAGTCATGGGTCGCATTCCTGCTGTACTCAGTGCTGTACAATCACATAATAAAGATGGGCCCTGCCGGAGAGCTTCTAATCAGTGCTTTGCTGAAGCTCCCTGAGCAGTTAATCCTCTGTGCATCCCTGGCAGGTGAGTGGGGATATTCTCTTTTTGCAAAGGGGGAGGTTGAAACACTGTGAGGTGCTACGACTGACCCAGGGACATACTGTGCACCAGTAGCAGGGCCAGGAAAAGAAACAGCACCTCCCTACTCTGTGTATCATGGGTCATAGTGGCCAGCCAGATCAATTTAAGTACCAGCAATATGCACATGATGGTAACAGTAATTTAATTACTAGCAATGCAATGTGAATTAATTACAAGTCACAGTCAGGCTGATGTGAAGGCAAAAAGCTTTAAATAGGCAAATGGAGAAAGCATTTGAAACTCCACAGTTTGCACAACAAAGCAGGTTGCTGCAACAGTTGACCGCCTGTCTTCTTCCCATTAGGGAGTTAGATTATGCCATGTTGCGCCGGCTGGAGAAGAGGATCCTGGTTGACCTCCCAAATAAAGGAGCAAGGCAGGCTATGATTCAGCACTGGCTGCCCCCTGTGAGCAACAGCGGAGGAGTGGAGCTGAGAACAGAGCTGGACTATGGCTTGCTGGGCCAGGTGAGCAGAGAAGGGAGCTGGTATAATCCACAGCTAGCCTCTCAGAGCCTTGCCTTGAAGGCTTTCTGAGCATTAGCAGTCCCTCAATATGAGGATGAGAGAGACTGAAGAGGAGCTATGTGACTGGCTGGGCCTTGATTCTTTTGCTGCCAGGAGCAGCTTCACCGAGTGCAGTGACTTTCACCTGTGTAGTAGTGGTGAAAAGCAGAGAATCAGGGCTGGTAGGTTTCAGTGTTTTAGCACTGCAGCCAGTCAGCATGGGCACTGGGAAGGGAATAAACCTTAAGTTATGAAGGCAGATGCTTGAATGCATGAAAAGGAGGATCACAGCAAGGGCCGCAGCACTGAGCACTTCTCAGGAAGTGAACCCCAATGCAGAGAGCTAGCCCTGTCTGCAGGTGAAAAGGTTTGCATCTTAGTTCCAAGGATCAAGTCTGATGTTGACTGCCATGGCCTTTGGTCCAGAAATACCATGTTCCCACAGTAATTCCCATATGCTCTGCTCCTTAGAGGTTTGCAGCAGAGCACAGTAGAGCATAATCCAGTACCTGACAGAGAAGGAAACTTGTTCCAGCTCCAGCATGAAGAGCAGGAGTGTCAGTAAAGTTTCTGGGGCATCAGTTCTTAATGTTCTTAGCTTGGGAAGTCTGCTGCGACCTCTCAGCCCAAACATGTCCAGACCATTACAAGGAGGGAGGTATCTACCTCCTGTTGCAGTCAGTAGGAGACAGATATGTGACCTGCCCTTAAGGAGCCAAACACGGTATTTTGCTCAATTTGCTAACTCCTACGAATAGCATCTGCACTACTCAAGAGCTGAATAACATGACAGAAAACGTGATATATAAAGTTGTACAAGCATCTCATCAGCAAGCCTGTGAATTGCAGCCTGTCATTCTGATCTCATGCTAGGAGACTGGAGGGTACTCGGGGTCGGACATTAAACTGGTCTGCAAGGAAGCAGCTATGCGGCCAGTGAGGAAAATCTTCAGTGCCCTTGAGAATCATCAGCCCGGTGAGTACCTCTCCCACGGACATCAGTGCTGAGCGATGCCGACCTGATGTTCTCACTTGAGGGAGTCAAACCAGCAGGTGGAGCTCTCTCATCTGCTTTGAAGTGTTTTAAACTGTATTTGTAAAAACAGACTTCCAGCCAACATTTCTGAAAAGCAGGCCGTTCCTCAAACCTGTCGGTTTCGTGCACTAGCACAATTTCTGCTGCTATTTCCACTCTTCTGGTTAGTGCCTTAAGTTAGATGTGCTGCATTATTCACTGTTTAAATAGAGCAACTCAGTACTGATCAACGTCTCATTCACTTTCAATACTGGTCAATTTTCTCTCACCAGGTAGTAGTACTTTACCCATAATCCGACTGGACACGGTCACGACAGCAGATTTCCTGGATGTGATTGCTCACACTAAGCCATCGGCAAAGAATTTAAGTCAGAAGTACACGGCCTGGCAGAGGGAATTTGAGTCAGTCTGAGCCAGCATTGGGCTAAAATCAGAGGCACCCATGCTCCAAGATGACATCTCCTTGGGTTCGGCTGCATTGGGAGGGACTAAACTCAGAAGGAAAAACTATATAAAAGAAAGAAAGAAAGAAAATGCAGGAGACTCTGGGTGACAGAATCTGCACTTTCAAATCTATAAGGTGTATTTTATTTAATTTTTCTGGCAAACAAGTGGTATTCTTCATGACAGTACCACCCTACAGCTAATGTGCTATGAAGATTTTAGCACATATTTTATGCATAATGACTCGTCTTCTGCAATCTATATTCATTGCAGCTGATTTTCTCTTCTTGAGGGAGAGGGACAGAGAAGTGAGCTAGCTGAGGAAGAACTAGAAGACCAATAAAATTTTGCTTCTCAGGGATTTCTTGCACTCAAGCTAGTCTGGCTGTACTGCTAGGAACGCTGCAACTGACAGTGAGGCAGACATGATATTTTCCCCCTGGGATAAACCCTGGCATCTTGTGTTTGCCTTGTGGCTGTTACCTGGATGCCACTTTGATCTGGGCTGTGATTTGTTCATCTGCCAAGGTGTTTTGTCCATCTCATCCAATGTGCTTTGGTCAAATGTTTTATCCAAATAAAGGTTTGGCTTTGTGGAATGATACTGCAATGCCCTGGTGAAGGCAAATGACATTGATCATCAGTACATTATTCTTAAAGGAATTGGGGCATAACTTAAATTGCATATTAGCCCGTCTTGCCCAAATCCAGTAATATAATGTATTTTATTATCACAGTTTCCCTCCTTCCTTTTCTCTTTTAATGTTCATAATGTAATTATGTTAAATAGTGTCTTTAGAAGCCAGGTGTTCAGGCCTTTTTTTTTAAAGGTATTCACAAAGATGGGTGATGCACAAACAAAAGAGGAGCTGTTACTAGGAGAGCAAAAGTAAAGGCTGGGG